GTCCCTGAATTAATCAGAAGAGTGCAAAATGTATTCCTGAGTTAGCCAGACCTGCATGAGGATTGTGTATGTGGCTCAACACCACACCAAGTATAAAAAAATAAAGAACTCTGAAGAGAGCAAAGAGTGAGCTGATTTCAGCCTATGTACTACTTTATGGGAACAGTGGACACCCAGTGGCATTACAGTGAGTGTATAACAGAGACTGGTAATAAGGATCACATTTGTATTGTGATTCAGCTGAATGTTGCAATTGTACTCTGTAACTGTAATTTGTAATTGCACTTTGTAACTATCATTTATTGTGATTTGAGTGTATTGCTACATCACTGTGCTAAATCAAAATTCCATGTAACAAAAAAAAAAAAAAATCAAGTAAGTAAACTTTGTATTAAACATTAAACCCTACTTGTGGAACATCCAAAAGAGACCAGTCAGAGTTTATTGGACTTGGACAACCAGGTACTACATTTTACAAAGAAATAAAGTAACCTCAATGAAAGAATAAAATATTTCTACAAGCTTAGCACACAATGACTGATGTCATTCTTCAAATAATTATCTCTTTTTTTAAAAAAAGTTCCATCTATTTCTTTCAAAAATCAATGAAATTCTATTACAGCAACTGCTAAAAGTGTCTTCCTCAAACTGTTAGTGCAGTTTGGATACAGGAGCACTATTCTGATTGCAGTGAGAAGCACAACAAATGAACCAGTTCTTGAGCAGGTCAGTACCTTGTGACATACCACTACATAAGTACAAAAATTGACATTCCAGCAGAACTGTATGGCAGCTGTGGTCCTGGTGAGTGCTCAGAGTGGTAAGGAGGAGCAGAGCATGGTCTGACCATGGGGAGTTTGCAGCTACTGCCTTGCATGGAGTAGCTAACTGGGGTACCTGCACTTCTCTGGGGCCCATTTCCCATATCTGTTGAGTTTCTGACAGGCCAGGAGTTGTTTGTTCAGAATGAGTCACCTGCGTTGTGTATATGTGTGTGTGTTGGGTGGTGGGGCTCCTCTACAGATGGTGGCTGTTGGGTCATTACAGTCAGCAGTGCCCAACTGTGAGGGGTCAGCACATCACCTTCAAGAGAGGCATCCAGTGGCATTTGAGATGCAGGAGGGAACCCAAGATATTTGCATGAAACTGTCAGATATGGTGAAGGAATGACTAGAGCTGTTTGTCCTTCAAACAACATTGTATGTTTGTGTCAACAACTACAAGCCCTAGGTGCCTACCTCAGAGAAAGCTGAAATGCTCTCTAGAGTTTAGCAAGTGTATTGACCAACTTTTCATCATTTACAATGAATGTTTAGAGACACAGCACCCAGGAAATACACGAATTTAGTGTTTTTTGTTTGTTTGTTTGTTTGTTTTAATTTTAGTTCTTTTTTCTTCTACAGCTGAGTCTTTCCTTGGAGCTTAATGAATACAGAAGGTGCTGCTGATCAGCAGCTCCCAGTGTGGTGGCAGCACCCAGGTCCTGCCAAGCTTGGGCAGGTGCTGTGTTGCAAGTTGCTTTGCTATGAAGGCAAGCAGAAAGATAGCCCATCCAAATAATTAGCCTCTGTAGGACAAAGTGGTTCACAGGGTCTGCAGGGACTCATTTGATCACGAGTCATTGCCTTTTCAAAAATGTGTATGTTTTTTGCGTCTGGTGCTAGCCCCTGCTGAACACACCCAAGCACCCCAATTGCATCTTTTGGCCAGTAAATGGCAGAGGGATGCCACTGTTTGATTTTAAAAGGAGTCAGGCTGGTGCAATATCCTTTGCCATCTCAGCTGAAGACCTGCCTGTGGAAGCCATGCCCATGTCATTGGCCCCCTCTTGTAACAGATCCTGCAGATGGAGTCAAACCTGCAGAAGTAGAGTTGGGGCATGTGTTTTTAACCACTCTGGGACTTAATTTATCCAGCTGCACCATGAATCTCAGAATGCCTTCCTTCTTCTCAGAGGAAGCTGATTTAAACATGATGGTGTAACCCTAGGCACTGGAGATGTTCCAATTTGGAATACAACTTGTGGTAAGAAACATTAACAAATTGACCCATTGACTTTATTTGTTTTAGTTTATTTGTCTTGAGTGAAGTGTCTGCTGTTTCAGAGTTAGAAAGCATTCACCAGGTTCGCTCCCCAGTACTATTTTGAGCACCAAACACAGGGTGTAAATCAAAACATGACACCTTTCAATTATCTGCGGTCACAAAATGCATGTTGAAGATATATGGTTGGCACAAATTTTGTTTTCAAATAATTAGTACTTTAATGTTGGTTTGACGTACTTCATTTCTTTTTGCCACTTCTCCCATTCCTCTTTATTCATTTTTTTCTTTGGGGGGAAAAACCGGCGTGCTTATTCCAGTCTCTGCTGTGCCTGTGAAAATTACCATCAGCACAGCTAACTTTACCCACACCCACAAGACGCCAGGACTGCAGAAATTTTGCAGTGCTTATTGAAATCATAGTATTCAGCAGTTTTGTGGGTTTCAGTGTTAGCAAAATGTAACTTTTTTGTGCTTGCTTGTTTGCAGTGGGGTCAGCACAAGGTCTATGAGCTACTGCTGACTGCTTTTATCTCTATTTACATCTCTCTTCACAGTTTTAGCTCCATTTTTTTTCCCTAATTTTTAAACTCGGACAGTGTCATCACTTGAGCCTGAGCAATAACTTGAATATCTTACATTGCCCAAGACTGGCAGGCTTTGAAGTTGCCATATGTCCTTGACAACTTTAAAATCTCCACTTCCTAGAAAAGGCTTTAGGGTCAATGCACTAAAGTAACACAGAGCAAATTCAGGGTTCTGTACTTAGTTCTCAACTCTGTCAAAGTTTTTTGTCTACCCTTAAAGAAAAAAAATAAGAAATCACACACTACGGCTGTGATACTTTTTCTGAAAAGGGGGAATACTGTTGATTTTCACTGCCACTTCAGTATGCTTGTTTGCACAGTGCTTTGTCAGTGTCTCTTCATTTTGTGTACAGGGAACAAACAAAATCTATGCCTCTATATGGGCCTCTTGCCACTAGTGTACTATAAATAGCAATAGAAATAAAATGTGCAAGAAATATTGGATCATGTATATTTGCATGGTGCAGGCTCCCAAAGGAATCAACAATGTGCAGAAAACACAATGCAGCAACAGTCCGTGCACAGAAGACTCATTACACTTTGTTTCAGAAATCAATTTCTGTCTTACAATTTTTGTTTACTCTGGGCAACAAAATAATTACAGAGTCCTTACATTTTTTCACTTTGAATGTTTTCTACTCCTATGCAGAATCTGCTGAAAACATTGGGCTGTGGTTTTGCTTGTTTCATTGTCTTATAATAGGTAAAGGCCCAGCTTTATGCATCTCTTCTTACACAAATCTAAAAAGAAATTGTTTTGAGAAAAGCTGCCTTTTTTCCAGTTAGCTAACCTATATTTATTAATGCAATCCTGAAAACACTTAGGAATAATTTGGGGTCATTTTGCCATAAAGAACGATGGACTGATCACATTTTTACAGTAACAATTTTCTTCTAAGTTAAATTCTTATATTTCAGAAGCAAAGGTCCCAATGTCACAGTTGATAAAGAAAAGTGGTATAAGGGTAAAACACTTTTAGTAAAACTTGGCAAAGGGCAGTGATATACAAATTCTGGTATACAATTACTCTCCCTTAGATGAAAGAAAGCTAATTTCAGGGAATTTGAAGTTCACAAGAATTTTAACTGTGCAGTTTAAAGTTTTTCATTTTATTTATTACATTTCTGACATATGTTGATGCTCACAACTTCACAAAGTCTCAGGAAATAGTTCCTAATACTGTTTGAGTAACAAATTGAGCTTTTTAACTGTCAGCTACACTGATTTTTATCTGTTTCCTGTTTTGTCATCAAGGCAACATCATTTCCAGGGTAGTGTGTACCAGAAAGTGTATACCTATGTCTACCAGAAACCTGCTTGAGGATTTCCATGCCAGAATAGCCTCCACGAAAGAGTAGAGTGAATTCAGATGGAACAGGACCTCCACTTGGCATCCACACTCATGGGCACATGTTGTGATACAAGTAGCAGCTAAGGTTGGAGTGACCCTGGGAAGGCAGAAGTCATCACTGAACTTTTAAGCATAGTAATACTCATGTATGTCATAATGCCATATTTATCCTATTTTCCACCTCATAACTCAAAATCACATATTTCTGTCATTCTAGACACACAGATTCATTGCCTGCCTGCCATAGCTGTTAAATTCCCTCTCTCAGAGCAGTAGCCATCTCATTGATCTACAGCTATTCTCCCTTCATGTAGTAAATTAAATTCATGTTTTTAAGGAAGATAGATTGTATGAAGTAGTCACTTTACATGACCTGCTTTACTACTAATCAAAAACACTTTTAAATATTCAAAGCTATTTCCTGATATTTAACATCTCTCATTTTTATTTTTTTTTTCTCAAACTAAATTAATTTGAAAGATAGACACAAAGTCACTTTAAGGATCCCTGAAGTAAAATTATTATTAATGCTTTAGAGTTATATTTCTTTACAGAAGTAAGGAAATGTGGTGTCCTATTATAAACTCCATGATGTTATTTCTCATCAGCCAAAGCAGCATTTATTAAAAATAGAAGTGCTTCTGTGTAACTACTGAAAAGTTGCAGAATTACTTAAAATTTTGTAAAACTCTGCTATTTTCTATCAAATAGTAGAATAGTAGCAATCACTCCTGCAGAGAGGAGAAATAAGCCAGTGTGCGTTATTGCAAAATAATCAAAAATTGCTGTTTTCTTCTGCCCATTTATTCCCACAACCCATGTAAATATTCTGAGACTGTGTTTATGTGAAGATACTGTTTCAGAGACCTCAGTGGGACAACAGATGCCTAAACCACAGCACTGGGGAGGAAAGAAAAAGTAGTTATCTAAGCATGTTTACTTTCAGTGACAAGGAAGTTCTAACTTGTCCCTAAGTGGTGACTCACTGGGGTAAGACTATAAAAGTAAAGGTAACTGCTCTCTAAAACATCAGGGCTTCAGACTTCACAAATCCAACATGATGCAGTCAAGGCTTTCAGCTGTCTTCTTTTTCTTGCTGGGTTTGTCATTTTGTCTGACAATCCCTATTCCTCTTGAAGATAGTCATGAATTCACAGAGGAAGACCTTCAGTTTGCAGAGGTACAGTATAAAATAATTAATTTACATTTTTTAGAAATACTTTTGTAGTTACAGCTGTTTGGAAATCAGGCTTCTTACTTTTTTTTCCCTTCTTAGCGCTACCTCAGGACTCACTATGATCTCCGTCTGAATCCCACTGGCATAATGAAGAAGAGTGCCAACACAGTGGCATCTAAACTTCGAGAAATGCAGGCTTTTTTTGGCTTGGAGGTGACAGGAAAATTAGATGAAGAAACATATGAGCTCATGCGGAAACCAAGATGTGGTGTCCCAGATGTGGGAGAATATAACTTTTTCCCTAGAAAACTCAAGTGGTCAAAAACAAATTTGACATACAGGTAAATGCATGACATTTTGAATGTTATTACTGTTCCTTCTTTCCATGTAGCTTGTTCCATAGGTTGTTCAGTACATGAAGTTGATGGGAGATGAGTGTGTTTAAGTATGACAAAATTTTGGAAATTTTTGGAAACTTTTGGAAAGGTCCCCTAGACCCACCATATGGTCTGTTGAAGTAAATACAATTTTTTTTATTGGACTTTTTCACATAAGAAATCTGGTGTGGTGTAAGCCACTCACTCCTGAGCTGGCCTCCATGTAGACACTCTGGGCATATCCATGGTTCCAAATGAAAGAGGGGTAGGGGCTGAGCTTGCAGAGCTTAATTGCTCTTGGCTCTGTTTTGGACCAAGCTTGTTGTCTGCTCCACCTAGGCCTGTCCTGGACAAATCTGCTCAAGAAGGGTTATCCCAAAGCATGCAAAATGGTCCATGTAATGTGGCTGTGAGAAACGGGACTGATCCTTGTCCCTCTTCCGTTTCACAGCCCTGTTGTAGATATCTTTGCTTGGTTAAATGAGTCCCTCACTACACCATGTCCTCAGGCAGCTGGCGCTGGGTAGCAGATTCCAAATATAAAATCACTGAACTCTTTCAGAGATACCAGTCCAGTATCTGGTAATAATTACTTTAATACTGGTGATTCAAGACTACAGAAAGTTCTTTGGGTTATGTTTGTTCCTCCAGGAAGTGAGAGTCCTGAGATATTTTATATGGCATTAAAATAGTTTTAAGTTACTGATATGGTTTGATTTGATGCCAATCTGTCGTTTTCTAACTCCACTGATGCATATAAAATTTATTATAGAAAGCTGTTGGATCATTTCACGTGTCTCTGAATAACTGCAATGGAAATGGTTATTTTTATTTCTTAGAGTATTATATGCAGCTGCCCAGCTCTTAGGTTTGAGGTAAGAACAGAGGAAAGAAAGAAACAAAACTTTTTAATAAGGTGTACAGTCAGATAAAAGTGTATTAAGCAGTTGCTTCAATCTACACAATTTAACTGGAGATACTAATCTTCTTGACAGAATTATGAATTACACTTCAGATCTGAGACGTGCGGAAGTAGACAGAGCTTTCAAAAAAGCATTCAAAGTTTGGTCTGATGTGACACCACTTAACTTCACCAGAATACGAAGTGGCATAGCTGATATCATGATCTCCTTTGGGACTAAAGGTAACACAGAACCAATTCTTTTTACATTATAGTTATATTGCTGCCAATTTATTAAGATGCAATATAGTTTATATCATTGGTTTGAATGTTGTTTTATAGAACACGGTGACTTTTACCCCTTTGATGGACCCTCTGGATTACTGGCTCATGCCTTCCCCCCTGGTCCAGACTATGGAGGAGACGCCCATTTTGATGATGATGAAACTTGGTCAGATGATTCTAGAGGTAACAGAGGTTCCTGAGATTATTTCAGACAGTGATAGATGAATAATTTCCACCTTTTGATGTTTGTAAATGGTTTGTTTTTTCAGTTTACCATATTTTATCCAATATGTTCACTGTCTACTCATAGGAAGATTACGACCCCAGTCATAAATGAGAATATAATATAAGCCTACAATAAATTCTAAAATGTACAAATCCTAAGTAGAGTTGTTTTTTTCTTTTTTCTTGAAAAGTTAGTTGGAAATGACCTTACTAAAACTTACAGCATATACTTCTCTCAGCTGCAAGTCACCTACATACACTTTGAAAAATCTTGATCTTACCTATTCAGGAGAGAGTTTTAATAGAACATGTTTGTTTGTTTGTTTTTTTCCAAAGTGTTATGTCACCTTTTTTTTTTCCAAAGTGTTATGTCACCTTTCTGGCATCAAAACTAATTAATGCAGTACCAAAACCAACACACACTCTTCACGGGAGGTGAATTCCCAACAAAAGTTTTCTTGATTTTACTGGGACTAAGACTTCACTGTAGATCGTTCCAGTGTTGCTAAGAAATTTCAAGGAACCTAAAGCTGCCTACAGAACACCATTGTCAAATAAGATTTAGCTTGAAGAACAGCTATGAGATAATCAACTGATTGAGCCCTTATTAAAACAAAACTTTTAGTCACTGGAGAAAGACAATCAATTATACATCACTCATCCATTTCTCCAATTATCTCCTTCATTATCTCACATGTTAAATGCACAGTGTTAATGTTAATTGAGTAGTTAAGTCCACTTTGTTTATCCAGGGTTATAAATTCACTTTCATTGTGGTTTGTTATAGGGTATAATCTGTTTCTTGTTGCTGCCCATGAATTTGGTCATTCACTGGGACTCGAACACTCCAGAGACCCTGGAGCTCTGATGTTTCCAATTTACACATATACTGGAAAAACTGGTTTTGTGCTTCCTGATGATGATGTGCAAGGGATCCAAGAGCTCTATGGTAAGTCTGCACAATATATTTATTTCTGGTGTCATTATAACCTGCTACAGATGAACTGCACTGTTTCTAAAGAGCTGCAGATGTTCACAAGCAACAGTCATGACTGATTAAGTCCTAAGCACTGAATTCTTGGCAACCAATCTTTAGGTACAGAATTCTTTAGGAGCAGAAGATGCTCAGATTTAATAGTTCAGAGGAAAAAGAAATAACACTGAAATAACTTTGCAGTGGACTGCTGCTAGCTCTTTGGTGTGGTGAGGGGCTCGTAGATTATTTTGACCATTTTACCTCATAAGAGAAGGTGAAACGAGGAGACGTAGAAGGGAGAAACAAATATTGATTTTTCAGTGTTCCATCATGGAAAGAATAAAACTTTTAGATGACCTTCAAAACTTAGGATAAAGAAAGAAGCAAGTCAATTTAATATCTTTGAAGCACGGCTGAACTACCAAGTCCATTAACATATTTGGCTAAAGGAGAGAAGGAGAAAACTGTTTTCCCCAATATAAATGGTTTGCCCATTATGCTTGTATTCATCACAATTTTTGGGAACTTTTCCATGTCGTATTTAATATTATGATCCAGGAAAAGGGAAAAAAAAAAATTTAAACCTATCATACTGCATGGTTCCAGGTGCTGGAGACAGAGATCCGAACCCAAAACATCCTAAAACACCAGAGAAATGTGATCCAGAATTATCACTTGATGCAATAACAGAGCTTCGTGGAGAAATGCTGGTCTTCAAGGACAGGTAATGAGATTGCTATATGACGGATAGTTAACACTCGATAAAATTTGAGCAAGAGAAAGAGCTGTTTCAGTTTTTCACTAGATTGAATAAACATAAATTAAAAAATTATATATATATCCCATATCTACACAGATGCCTATAAGAGGTTACATCATATCTTTTTAGGCAGGATTTATAATGCAGTTACAGATTTGCCTGTCCAATGATGTGAAGTGAAGCTGATGCAGCTAAAGGCTGACCCCATTTTTACAGACTTTTCATTTCACAGGGCATTCTTCAATATGTAAAAATTTACTAACATTTATTTGAATGAAGTTGTACTTTGAAGATTCACCTTTGCCTTTCAAAATGATAACAGTACGTGAATGACAGAATTGGTCTGCAGTTTGATGAGTGAGGAAAGTCTTACCAAGGCCTCTATGTATTGAAAATTGTATTTTGTGAAAAATGTCATTCCCCATTAATTCATTTTTAGCATAGAACATCGAGGATACTGCTATTTTGTAGTTTGACACTAAAAGTGCAATATTTTCTTTTTCTGAGCTAGGTTTTTCTGGCGACTGCACCCTCAGATGGTTGATGCAGAGCTGGTTTTAATTAAATCATTTTGGCCAGAGCTTCCAAACAAAATAGATGCAGCTTATGAAAACCCCATCAAAGATCTTGTCTTCATGTTTAAAGGTGAGGTTTTTTATTTTACTGTATGTAGAAAAAAAAAATAATATATATATATATGTATATATATATATATATATAAATATATCTAGTCAAATTCAGTAAGTGATAAAGAGGTAATAGATGGAAGAACATAACATTCTGCCTTTCTTGTTTAAAAGACCACCTGTGAATGCTGGCTTCACCCTATACAAGCTTACACAACTTTCAGTAAATTAACACATGTATGCAAGATCAGATGCCTAGGATTAAATTTAGCATAAATAGTTCAATACACTCAGAGTACATGGCCTAAGAATCTGTTAGTTTTATGAAAATAAGGACCCTGTCATCCTCATTTTATCCTTCTCTCAAAGCTGAGCCTTTTTATGAAAGACTAATACATACTTCGTTCTTATTTTCAGGAAAGAAAGTCTGGGCTATGAATGGCTATGACATAGTTGAAGGCTTTCCTAAAAAGATATATGAAATGGGATTCCCAAAAGAAATGAAAAGAATAGATGCAGTTGTCCATATTAAAGACACTGGCAAGACTCTCTTTTTTACTGGAAATAAGTACTGGAGGTAAGCTGCAGACAGTGGTGTTTCTTTTCAGCATCCTTAGTCGTAACTGTCCAGAAGATTCAAAAGATTAGCAGGGGGTTTCAAACCAAGCACTTCACTGTGGCTCAAATGTTGCCAGTCTATTGTTTCTGCAGGTGCAACAGCTGTGTAGAATAGAAGTCTTGCATGTGCGTTCATGATATAAATATGCAGTCAGAGCCTGTACAAGCTAAAAGAGTGAAAGAAAGGAGAGAGGAACAAATTGCCCTGATGCAGGAGAGTCTGTATGTCTCCTAGATAAAATTCCTATCTTGCTCCCAAGAGTCACTTGTGTGGCACGAGCTGGATATTAGTGCTGGTCTGTGAGAGCAAGAAGTCTATCGCCCCCTAGGATGCCCATTTTTTCCTGGCCAGAAATGGGGTTGACAGCCAGGTCATTTGTATAATCAAGAAAGATGTCACCATCCCTTCCCAGAACCTGTGTGTCAAGCAGCCTTAGGGTAGGCTTGCAGTGCTGATATGTCCAAGTACAATCACCTCCCTATCGTATGTAGCTTACATACTTCTAAAAATGTAACTTTACTGGTTTTGTGATTATTGGGATTGTACTTCTGGTGTAAGGGTGCCCTGGTTTTTACACAGAGTTTCATTAGTGAACTAGACATAAGGTACCCAATGGCTGCTGGCTACTCTTGATGTAGATAACTTCAAAGCATACAAAGGGCACACACCAAATCCAAGGCTGTCTAAAACCTCTGAATTTTTATTTTCTTTTATGTTTAATGTAGTTATGATGAAGAGACAGAGCTGATGGAAGCAGGCTACCCCAGGCTGATAGAGGAAGAATTTGCAGGAATTGGTGACCGAGTGGATGCAGTCTATTACAGAAATGGTATATAGCCTGATTAACAAGGCTTTATTACAATTAGTTGTGTCTGAAACTTGAGATTAACAACCTGTGGGAAGTTCTGTCATTTGTAATTTGAACTTATTTATTTATTTATTTATTTATTTTGACATCAGCACTTCTGTTCTTGCCTGAATCTGTCTTCTGATCTCAATTGCCCTCTGGCAAAGATGCTTTTATAAACTGGGGAGATACGTATTTGAGAATCCAAAGGAGACCTTGCTGGGGGAACCTAAAGTGATATGCATAATACAGATGCATCTTAATGGGTCTGTTTCTTCAAATCCAGATCATTCAGAGCCAATTTTTCCAGGAGTGTTTCCAAGTCCAGGGTTTTCCTGTTAATGTTTTCCTAAGAAAATGTTGTATAACAATAAAATGCAGAGCTTGACACTACTATTTATTTTAAAATTATTTATTTTAAAACACTGATCCAGATCATACAAATGGAATGAAGACTCTCGAAAAATTACCTCAGCATTTTAATTACTAAAATATTGCATTTTTACAAAAATATTGCAAGAGTTATGAAACATTAAGACAAAACAGGTAATTTTATTTTGAAGGAAAAATTTAATATAACAGATTTTTCAGGGTTAATAATTTTGATTTTCTTTTTCCTTAGGTTACCTCTATCTCTTCAATGGATCTTTGCAGTTTGAATACAGCATCTGGAGCAAAAGAATTGTCCGTGTCCTGCACACTAACTCCATATTTTGGTGCTGATTACAATTGAATGACATGTTGCAGGCTGCAGAGCAGTTTGTAGTACATAGAAGTAATAATATGGGCATATAGGTTTATTAAAGGAAAGCAAGGTTCTGTGAACATGCACTGGATACCTACAAACAAATGTATACTGTATATATGGAATTCTATAGCTGTATGTCAGTCTGGAACTGAATTAACTTAATAGGAAAGAAGGAGAAATTATAAGCATTTCAAGGGGGCATTACACCATATAAAGTTTGTCTCTCATTAAAGTGAGATGCTGGATACATCCTCCATGATCATAAGCACTACTAATTTCCAGTAATCTATGCATGTCCGGCATCTTCTCAGAATCTTCTAGCGTTTCTAAAGACATCAAGTTGATAATCTCTGGAGTGTTTCTTTTTAAAACTAACCCTCCAGCTCTTTGTAAAATTATTTTTAAAGTACTGGGGATTCAGACACATAATGAGTGAGTCAGGACTACATGGTGATGCCCTGAGCAGCATAACACTAGGTTGCAACACTAAAGTTAGAAAATTCAAAGGTATTTGAATGTATCATGATTTGAATGGGAACATCCCCCTGGAAATAGATGCCCATATGGTATTTGGAAGAAGCTGCAGATATGGAAACATTGAGGTGTCATCTCAAAGCAGACCAAAGAGCAGGAAAAGGGAACAGTATTCCCTACAGAAATCACCAGTTAGTATGGCACTGGGGAAAATAGAAAGTAGTGGTACCAAGAGAATCACACAGGTTGAAACCTTTCATGAATCTACACCTGGAAACAAAGCCCATGTTTTCAGCTGGTGTAAACTGAAGTAGTTCAAGTGATAATTATAGAAGTTATGCTTATCTGTGCCAGCAGAGAACCTGAAGATTCAAGTTATAATATTCAAAATAATACTGAAAGGGTGTCAAACATTAAAAATGTTTATAATGTTAAAAATGAATATATCAGTTGTTTCAGTACCATGTAAGGTTTGGGGGGGGGAGGGAGGGTGTTTTGTTTTGTTTTGTTTTTCAATGCAAATGATGTGGGACTGTTGTTATTTCTCAGTTTAAAAAGTAGTATTAAAGAAACTGGAGGAACAGAATGCAATTGTGAAAGGATTTCAGTTAAGAGATCCTACACTGTATGTTATATAACAAGACAGAGTTATTGGATAAAAGAAATCAGAAAGCTTAACCTGTGCATTTTATTCATTAAAATTTTCACTTCTACTTAAAACTCTGTTGTTTTTCATTTGTAATATTTTTTTTAAAGAGGAAAATTAATTTTATTGAAAAGAGGAGCAGAGAAAAAGTCATAAAAAGGGAAAATACAAAAGAACCACTGAATTCACAGAATAAGAGCTAAATTGAAATTAGTCCTTATCGATAGAGAAAGTAGCACAAATGATAACAAAATACTATGAAAATCAGTTCCACACTAGCTTGCAGTTTAAACTTTAATAACTAATGCAATCTGATTACCTTGTCCTCTTCTTCCTCCTTAAAACCAACCCCCAAATCAGTCAGTCAGCCAGCCCACCATGCAAAGCCCATTAATATTGAATGTTTTTAAATAGACATAAATTGCCAGGTTTACCAATCAACAGGCTAGGTGAGTTTGATTTTGTAATTGATGCCACATAAATCATAGAATCAAAGAATGGCTTGGGTCAGAAGGAGCTTTAAAGATCATCTCATTCCAACACCCCTGCCCTGGGCAGGGACACCTCCCACCAGACTAGGTTGCCCAAAACCTCATCGACCCTGGTCTTGAACACCTCCAGGGATGGGGCATCCACAGCTTCTCTGGGCAACCTGTGCCAGGGCCTCACCACCCTCACAGTATAGAAGTTGCTCCTATCCTCTAACCTAAATCTCCCTTCTTTTAGTTTAAAACCATCCCCTCTTGCACTAACAGCATCTGCCTGAGTAAAAAGTTGCTCACCATCTATTTTATGAACCCCCTTTAAGTATTGAAAAGATGCAATGAGGCCACCCTGGAGCCTTCTCTTCTTCAAGCTGAACATGCCCTGCTATTTCAGTCTTTCTTCATAGGAGAGGTTCTCCATGGTCAGATGAGGGAAGTTAACAGATTTAGTGGTCTATTCTGACTGTAAAACTGTGAATTAATCAATGTCAGACCTTAAAATATTTAAAGGAAATGTAAGCAAATAGAGATGAAGAAAAAAATTTACAAATGGAAAAAACCTGAACTAAAATCTAAGTCCTGTTATTTGACATAACGTTGATAAAGCTGCTAGGAAAAAAAAAAATAATCTCTGCATAATAAACAGAAAATTATTCATGTATATATCAAAAACATTTTTGATAGACATCAGATAGATGTCATTTGACTGAATGATGTTTGACATTGGATTGCAGTTTAGTTTGCAGTTTCATTGCAGTCTGCAGTGAAATAAGGGTCTGGAGGTGTAACCTTATTCCTCATTATTTTTGTTATTAAGACTTGGTGTAAAATTGTGTCAAAATAGTAAAGAGAGACCAGTTGATTCTGACTGCTCTGAGCTTCAGAGGTCTGACCTGAGCCTCACTTGAGCAAGGAATGCAAAATGCAAGGAGACATTGATTACTATCAATCATATCTATGTAAATTTCTGAACATTTGGCAGCAGTAAAAGGTACTACTTAGGAAGCTGAACCTTCTAGAGACTTCAGCATGATCATATCCAGCTGCTCCCCAGCCCAAATAGTCAGATTCCTGTTTGCTGCTTGGCTGACTGGAAGCAGTCTTCGGCACCAGTCCAAACACAGCTCCAGCTCATGCAACTACATCCCCAGTGAGAGACACACAGCCCTGTGGTTAGCTCTACCTCAGATGAAAAAAATACCAGCCTGTCAGTTCCTGGCATTTTGTTAAGGAAAAAAAAATAAAAAATAAGGAAAACAAAAATGCTTGTGCTGTGGAAGTGGAAGGCTGAGGACAGAGCCAGATGGGCCCTGACACTGACACTTCACAGTCAGCCAGAAAGGAAAACTCTTCATGGGACTTGGTGCCTTTGGACCTGCTGCCATCTCATGAGAAAAACATTACACGAGTCCATGGTGAGAGCGCTGAATACACACTGATGAGATGCCATGGTCTTTAGGGGGTACTGACCAAGACCATCAGGTATTGAAAACAATTGAGTCCCTTGAGAACTTGACTGAACTCTCTGCCTTCCCTCAGCTGTCATGAAAGGACCACAAGAGGATGAGACAACTGTGTCCCGGGCTATAATACAAGCAGAATTAATAGCTTCCTTACAGATCACCAGTTTTATGTGGAACTACACAAACCACCTAATAACACAAAGTTAATTAATATGCCTTTTATATTGGTCCCATTTCTGCTAAGTATGATCATTTGGAGGGGAAGAAAGGGTAAGGAAGAGAATGAAATCTGCCAGGACCAGCAGAATGAAATCTGCTCCTCAGGACCAGTTTCTGTGCTGGTTAAGTGATCCGGAAGAAGTAGGATGGAGAGGATGTCACTCAGAAGAGAGACAAAAGTGAGCAAATGTCATTTAAACTTTTCAAAGTGAGAAACTAGGCATCTGTCCACTAAGTTAAATAGTACATTGCAAAGGCAACAAATACTGTAAGAGCTACTAGCTAAGAGACTGGAGAAGAAATTCAATTTTAGTGTGAAAATGTTTTCTTTTCATATAATCTCCAGAAACCTGTTTCAAGGACACTAGGTGGCAGTGATAACTTTGCTCTCTAGAGGGCCAGCACATAAACCCGCAGCCACAGGGTGTGAGACCAAAAATAATACTGTGGGTGAGGAAGCTGCAGCCAATTATGGCAAATTCTTAGAGTAAATGAAGATATCAAGCAAACAACATCAAAAAGTAGAATTAAATGCTTATTTTGTGTTGAAATGTGAGTCTCAGAGGAATAAGTTAGGACACTAAAATATTTAGGAAACTCCTAGATATATATACACGGTAAAGACCACTAATTTTTCAATCTATTGATAATTCTCTTTCAATGTCAATGCAATACACTTAAAATAGTGTATTCCATGGATAGTCCTTGGAATAATACAATTCCTTAATTTAACTTCATTAGTTGGAAAAAAAAAACAAACACACATGGACACAGATTTGTAATCCAACTCCTTGGGAACATGAAAACCTCTCAGCAATTTGGTTTCTGAAAAAAAATGGCACTGCTGAATATGGAAGCAAAGCAAAAGCAGAGGAAAACATCAGTTGCAAAGAACCCATGTAAAACTGTAAAAATATTTAAAAAGTGTCTGTTATATCAAGTATGTGACCACATCTGCTTGAAAGAACAAAGGACAATTGGTAGAGAGCTTTTCTCAGTCATTCTGAACTAGTATTTCCAGGCTTATGTTTATTTGACAGAATATGATCATGATCTTTGAATCCCTAATACTGCCAAGATCATTAAGAGTACTGAGCATTTAAAACTAGGCAGAAATTGATTTTAGTATCCTGAAAATATTTTTGAGACTTTCAGTCATCTTACTGTTTGCACTGGAAAGAAAAACAAGAAATTTTGAAACTTTTAATCAAAAACAAAATTAAACTAAACATAAAGAGATTCCAATGTTTATCCTTTGGAATAATCTGCAGCCATATCATCAGTTAGAATACTTATGGGGTTTGGATGGAACAATGTACCATTTCATTTTTTTGCTCAGCCTGATTTATAAGAAAGTCTGGACCTCAATCTTCAATCTTCTAAATGAAAAGAACTACACATTCACTTATTTGTGGTTTCTTTCTGTCTGTCCTGATGGAGATGTTTCCTCTTCAGACAAATACAGTTAAACAGCACTCTGGAAAGACTGACTGCCCACTGATTAGAAAGTTCAAGGATCAAGCTCTCATCATTCTTGGTTTTGTACAAAGTAGTACACCTATATGAACTGTGGGTCCACACCAATTTAGAGGTTTGATGATTCTGCTGTTTCTGGTGGAAAACAGCATTTCCAGATAAAACCTCACCAGTTCTCTCTAACATAGTGCAGGGTGTTCACAGCTCACAGAGACTGCATTCTAGACTGGGATCTTCCCCATTCCCACCCAACACAGTTGTTCTGTGGTTGGCACATCCTTTTTACTCATAGACTTTCAATTGCGTACTATGGTATGAATTTCCAGCCAATGCTGTTTCAGGAGTATCTCTCGCACTGGCTGTGGTTGCCTCTACAACTTCCTACACTATTGTCTCCTACGTATTGTGCTACAGAGTGTGCTGTCTGCCCCTCTCTGTCTTCCTCACAATAAAATGATGAGGGAGCATTTTCCTCTAAGAAATATCTTTTCAGGCAGCAGAGAACCAGGTACTGCTTTCTTATTTACATGTTACATAATAAATATCCTGCTGGCATAGTAACAAAGTGTGATGCAGTTCTGTGCGTATCTGAGTGAACCACTTGAGTTATATCTTTACTTTTTGTATGGACTACACTGGGGTCCTACTGTGGAGTGATAGGATTGGCTTATGGAATAGTGTCCTCAGAATGGCCATTTCCATACTGTGTAGTCTCTACTGGATCTCACATAGTCCTGTTCTGCTCTTAAAAGAAGATGTCCTTTTTATATCTGCATGAGTTATGTCATCTGATATATTCTAGACTATATGTCTTCACAGGAAATAAAATGAGCTTAAGAGTCTGCATTGCTCAGAGGAACTTGGGATAGTTTGTCAGGAACTGGATGGGTCAGAAGTGTCTGGAGTTCACAGTGTCCTTCCTACATATCTACCTAATAAGTGTACTTTTCAGACTTGGCTTAGGTTGTCCACAAAGTTATGTCTCCCACTATGCCCCATTCTGAGATGGTAAATAGTTTGGGAACTATAAATGTCTGCTACACAAGAACAGCACAAACCTAGCAAGTACCAGGGACAGCAAGTATAGTCAGAAGGAGGGCTTTATTTTTTGGGGTGCTTTTACATGTGCTGTTCATTGTTGTCCCCTGAGTGGCTCGTGTTGACATTCCACAGTCTCAGGCAGGAAGGACACAGGTCACTAGTTTTGGCAAGTGGATTCGATTGAGTTGGTAGAGGAATCAAGATAATTTAGACAGGCCCCAGCAGTAAAGGCATACCACTCATATACATTAAATGCACATTTCCAGGGTGTTTCCAGGCAGATCAGGAGATAAAGTTCTTCTTGACTATGATCCTGGCTACTGGCAAGGACGTGGAGGTGCAGGAAGAGCAATTCCTTAGGAGGCCAACTGAGGATTACTCATTACTCAC